TTACCAATCAAGTGGTTATTTTAGTTAATCAGTTTTAGGTATAGGGGAGGGGGTGAAATCAAGAGGTTGAAAGTCATCAAGACAATTAACTGATAGCTGTTAGTAACAAGATATCTAAGTTTTGAAGGAGGACTTGAAAATCAGTTAGTTACGGAATTCAGGATAAGTTCATTCGTAGGGATTGGCAACGAGTTATTAAATAATCAGAAGAATTATACAAAATACAAACAAGCTAATACAGTTGGCTACAAGTGTGAAAATTAACAAAGTCGAAAGATAGTTACAAGGGGGGGGGAGAAAATCGTTTTTAAAAAGCTTAATACTAATTATGTAGTTGGCCATGGCAAAGAAAGAAAGGGTCTGTACAAATTTCTTTTGAAAACACAGGTATAACTTGTTCAGATGAGTTCAGGTTGCCTGTACTGCATGTAAACGTCGTACTCGTGGACCGTGCGAGAGGTTGGGTTATATACGATAAATAACTTTAAAAGCTTTGTTAGAGTCGACTTGATGTCCAGTATCGACGAGATGAGCTAGTATTGAGCTATGTATAGCTTTATTCGGACCTTTGCCTAACCATGATGGGAGGTGTTCAGAAATTTGACGATGAATTTGCCTGGTCATACGCCCAATGTAACTAGCTCCGCATGTGCAGTTAAACCGGTAAATACACATAGAAGAGGCGAAATAGGGCAGTCTGTCTTTATTTCTTGAACTAAGTACTGGTCGGCTAGTGAATATACAGCTTAAGTGCGTTGAAGGTCCTTTTGAAGGCCTTTCTCAGACGTTGTGACAAGATCTCGCTATTGACATCCCCGGTGAATTGTAGTCTCAGGAAAAATGACGTTTTGGAAACAGTCGGCACCTTCGACTTTTTACTTTCTGAGTTTATGTGTCGGATATCCCTTTCTACTTAGTAGATCACGAATATTACCGAGTTCTTCGTTCAGTGTCTCATTTTTCCCCTCCCCTTGTAATTATCTTTTGATTTTGTTGATTTTTGCAGTTTTAGCTAATTCTGTTAACTTGTTTGCATTTTACGTAATGCCTCTGAGTCATCCAGTTCTTCTTAGTCATTATTATTTTACAAATTTTCTGATTATGTAATAACTTGTCGCCAACCCCTACGAATGAAATTATCTTGAATTACCTAACTGACTAATTTTCACCCCTCCTTCAAAACTTATATATCTTGTTACCAACATCTATTAGTTAATTGTTTTGATGACTTTAAACCTCTTAATTGCACCCCGTCCTTTTACTTTTTCTATTCCTTTACATTCCCAGTCGAGCATAGGGCTTCAAACTGGAGCTTTGAAGTTTCGGTAGCAGTGGTGTTTATTATTATGCGGGTGGGGTTGCCAGCCTCATGCCCGACCTTCTCTCTCTACCAGTCTTATTACTAGCTTGGCGAGGTTTAGTAGTGCGTCGGCCGGGGACCGAATCCCTGACCACATGCGTGGTTGGCGAGCATTCTACCGCTGTGTCTTTTACCTAAAACTGACTAACTAGAGTGACCACTTGATTGCTAAAAAACTTTTGATGCAAAAAACCATCTATTAGTGTACAGCCGATGATGAGGTGCTAATTGGAAAGGAATATATTTCTTCGCTACATTTTTTTTGTTTTTTCTAAATGGTTCTCTAGTTGATATCAATGCATGATCAAAATTGAAGGGATTAATTACTTGCTATTTTACTAATTTCATGTTAACGTTTATTCAGCAGTTTCATAAGTTTTTTTTCATGAGAATTATCCATGAAACGTTATTGTATGTTCTGCTTCATTTAATGTCTTTTTACAACAAAATTGTTACAAGTATCTTGAGGAATAAATAATGCAAATTAAACTTCGGCATAATCTAAGATCACTTGATAATCCTTTAAAACAGAAAAATTTTCCGTCATCAGTGAAAACTTACAACCTTATGATGTATCGAATCCCTCCTTGTTCAACTACAGCTCATAATATGACTTGAAGCTTTTGCCTGTTAGTGAAATAACAAGACTGTCACCTAATTTAATCGAGTGATATTAAAGCATATTAGTACATTCACCAGTTTAAATAACCAAAAGTTGCTAGTGTGTGGCAGTAACTGTTATTTAGACATATAAAATGACATCTTCATGGTTGCATGCTAATATATTGAACTTATTGGATCAGAATTGTTTCTTATTTGCTAGTATCTTAGTAGCGCTTATTTAATCGGTAAATAAGTGTACGTACATCCCACTTGTTAGAATTAATCGATCAAGACCTTTCATTCTGCCTAATTCAACAATTAATACATCTATAAAACACAAAATAATCGAGCAAAGAATATTCTTTTCGATAAATTCCTCTTCCTGCTCTACAACTATATGTGTTTATATAAACAGAATACTCTAGATTAGTAGTTAATAACAATATTAGTGTTTTTTAAATAATACCGATTTGTAACGTATGATCAATGCAATTACAGTTCATAAATTAGGCCTATTAATATGGATCCCCACAGCTTCAGCAATATTTAGTAGTCGAACTCTTAAGGCAAAATTGAGATTCGTATGTATGCGGTAAATTACCCTGAAAGCATGGTTAACGTTAATTTTGTGTTCTGTATCCACAAGATGAGACAGAATAGCGCTGCAAATAGATTTTGTTTGTCCTTTGCTTAACCACTAAGCAGGGTGATGTTCGGAAATTCGACGAGAAACACGCCTATTTGTACGGCCTATGCAACTGGCTCCACAGGAGCAGTTAAATTAATGCATCTTCGTGTTAGATTGTTGGAAGCAGGCGGCAAGAAGCAACCAAGAGTAAGCGAGGCGTATGTGCAAATCTTGCAGGAGCTCATGTCTCTTCTAAGATTCGAACCCAAGTCAACCAGTGTTGTAGTCAGAGACGTTACTACTGAGCAAATCGAGTTTGCGATTGATCTTCTGTAGGATTGTAATGCATTGAATTCAGTCTGTACCAAACAATGGACTAGACAAACGATTTTAGTTAGGCAACTGAAAAACCATAATCAGCTTTAACATAAATGTTTGCTGGACTGATATGATGTGAGGCTTAATTGCTATTTAGTCTGAAATACAGAAACTAGTTACTTACTATACATCCCCATCCAGTATTGCTTTTCCTGGCTAAATTGTCTATCATCTCCTCAACCCTACCCTGTTAAATTCCATCATATAACATGATGTTAAGCAGGGAAATAGTAGAGAAAACAAAAATCAAAAAATATATATGTATATGTTTGTATGTATATCTCATTAGTGTAGTTCACTTTCTCTCTCGCTCTCTTCTGCATCTCTCTCGGTCTCTTCCTCTCCATCCCTTACAAAAAAAATAAAATAAAATTGTTCCCAGATTGTACTAATAATAATAAGAGTAGGAATTATCGATAATTTCAGGAGGAGGAGGAGGAGTAGTAGTACTACTACTATTTATAATAATAATAATAATCATGGTAATGAAAGTTTTAGTAAGAGTATTCATAAAAGAATAATGATAACAATAGTAATAGTAATAATAATAATAATAATCATTATAACCATAAATTTTAGAATTATGATTATTGTGTTACTATACAACAATCAGTCGATTGATTATATTATCACTATATATATTTCGTTGGGCTCATTTTCTATTTCATCTATATATATAAGTAAAACAGTAATAATATGAATCACTAATCATTGTACAAACTAATGGCTAATAGATATTATTATGCTATTATAAGTGAATTTACGAAGAGTAAGAATATCTCGGTAGGCTGATCGTTTTAAATCAAAGTACACTGATTCCAAGTATAAACCCAAATATATCTGAAATTGACAATGATGAGGATGTTTTTTAGTGAAAGTAATGTCAGTTATCAGTAGTGTCATAATTCTAGTAGTATTCTCTAATTAGTGTATTCATTTCATGTAAATATGTAGTTATGTATGTATATCTAAGAATGCATTTCATAATGATGTGAAACAGAGAACATAACAATAGCAGAAGAATTTTCCTCGAGACCAGCATAATTTAAAATTCAATGACCAATATAAATGTAAGGGCAAATCTATCAGCAGAATTCAGTAGTAGAGTTGAAATACACAAAAAAACAATTTAAGTTTGCACATTCTCTAAAGATGTTAAAATGCATGCAGTTACTCAGTTCAGAGATTCGAATTTTAAAAAAGGAAATATTGATAATCTTATGCAGAATAAGAAGAAGAAGAAAAGAAAAGGAAGAAGAAGGGGGTGTTAGGCAACAAAACACTCCTCATAACTTCATAGATTGATGAATGAGTAATCAGAAAACAACAAAAAATACCAGGTGATGAAGCACACCTTTAAGTGTCTGTGCGTGTGAGTATGCATCTGGCGCTTTTAAAAACTGAACTTTACGCTACTATCTCAACATTTTTTAAAATTCTATACAAGATTCTGTATGTGTAAATATATGATTGAATAATTTTCAGTGAATTAATTTACAAGATGAAATATATGTGTATATATATAGTGGACGGTGTTCTATTTATTATTGTTTATACTAAGAATTTTGTTAAAGCACTTTCCAGATAAATCTGAGCATTGTGTATAGAAAGAATAGCATTTGAGATGAGCAAGAATAGGTAGTATATATATATGTATAGATATCATCCGTTTTGTTCCGCCTAAAAGGTAGTAAAGAGAGGAATATAGTCAATTGATTAATTGCCTTTTAGAATCCTGCACCAGTGTGTGGAAGTGAAACAGAGTTCTCCAAGCTGATACAATTTCTAAACAACTAAACTGTTGTAATTGTAAACAATTTTGACTTGTGTTTTGTGGAATTTTTGTTTTTTGGTGTATATATGTAGTATAAGGACAATGGAAGTGGAATGAGGACTGAATCACAGCAGTCGAATTAGGAATTTGTATAAAACTTTTATACTATGCATAGAAATGTTATTTTGTTTGCATCATCTGTATTATCAGTCTTACAAAATCAAGAAAGAAATGGAATAAGATATTGATGAAAGCATTTACATTTTACTAAAGAATCCAGGCTTAGGAATACCACTTAGACTGCCTGTTATTGTACCGAGTATTGATCGTGTTGGACTACTTCCTAAGTCAGGTCTAACAGCTTGAGCAGTTTCTTCCATCTACAATAGAAATAATAATGAAATATATTAGTTTTAAATTATAATGAAGTTTAATAGATAACTTGACAATATTTCTAATTTATTATTTTAACAAGTTGATTTGTAAGGATTTCTAAGGTCCAACTCGAAAAGCAGATAAAATCCTTACAAATCAACGCTTAAAAATTAATCTGATGCTCGCCAGTGACTTGCTATGGGACGGAGTTTCCTGGAGTTCTTTATGGACAGTGAGATCCATCCTGTCGGGATTGAGGACAAATGCTCGTCGATGACAATGGTTGGTGGTCGCGCTATTAATCACGAATCGGTAGAAGTTAGAATTCATCGGCTGATCATTGAGTCGGGTCCAAGTGGCTGAATGGTCTACAATGTCACTTTGTAGCCGAAAGATGCTGGATTCGAACCCCAGTGGATGTATGCTGTCGATGAGTTCAAAGTTGGGACGAAACAGCTGTCCAGTAATTTATTATTTTTGAAAAAAGTAATAACAGTTTCAGGATACTTTTCCATATTTAAAAAAAGTGAACTTTATTGATTTCCACTATTTATTCGATGAATTTCTTCTAGTCAACCGATCAGTAGAAGAAGACTAAAGTGAGACGTCTATTCAATGTTTTTGTTAATACTTGTGTTTCATTCACGCTTAGCACAGCGGTCTGTTAAAATCAGGGCTACGAATATACTCCATTAGATTGCATATAATTTCTCTTGTTCAATTGGTTTTAATCTACTGAAATATGCCACCTAGTGGTGTTTCCTACTCTTGTGAGTACTTAAAATGTCAACAGTCTGCTGATTTGTAAGTTTCTATTAAACTTCGGAAAAAGCAAAATTGTGGGTGGCAAAGTATCCCAGTACATAAGATAACTTTCCCTGAGATTTTTTGGTACAAACTGCCACACTGCCTGCGAAATAAAACTGATTGCCTGCAGTCTTCAATTATTCAGCTATTATTATATCCCTAGGCCAAAATAATGTACTACTGCAACTTTTATAATTGGCTTTCAGCCAGATGTCGTGCATTTCTTGAAGGAGGAAAAGACGAAATATCATCATAAGAGATTGGTTTTCGCTTCAGGTGAGACTGCAGTGTGACACACGACTTACCATCAGATACTATTTTCCTCTGAAGATGCTACACCTTATATGAAAACACTTCAGAATAAAGCTTTTATTGTTATTTTATTATTATTCCCTTGGGTCTTCTCGATGAGAGCGTAGGACCTCCGCAGGATATCACCATTTTCTTTTCTTTTCTGTAATATTTTTTAGTTGGATTTACGATTGCTCATAAACTTTCATTTCCTTCCTATAGAATCTCCTCCTCTGTTTCCCCCTCGGATCCATGCTCAACTCTTTCTTCTTTTATCACCCAGGTTCCACTAGAGCGTTCGCCTGGGGCTTGATGTCATTTAATGGTCTTTTCAATGTGTGTCCAATTCATCTCCATTCACTTCTACATATTTCTTGGTTGAATAACAATTTCTTGACTGATTAACTGTCAAAGGTGCTTGTTGTTCAACTTTTCCGGTGTTCAAAGTCACCCACCGGGAGAGATAATTAATAAGCTCGTGGAAAAATCTAAAAGCGCACTTCAAATTGAAGTATGCTCTGAAGATGTTGCCTAGTCAGGCGGTGATGAAAGCCTCGTAAATAAACTATTCAGCTAAGAGAACACAACCACATCCAAATCATCCACCTGAGCTACGAATCTTCTCCATCATACTATTTGATCTTTATTTAATCATGTTTACTAAAGCTTTTTTCAAGTGAATAATAATGAAACATTTATATTTTAAGTGTTTTGGACTATTCACAGTTGAAAACCTATTCTCACTACTTCAAAAATTGTTACATACCCTTGTACCGTTTATTAGTATTTCTTTGAAATGATTAACTGTCAGGTAAATGTTATTCTCCTAACTGTCATATTTATTTTATTCCTTTACGTTCCCGATGGAACATAGGGCTTCAGGCTAGAGCTATGAAGTTTCGTTAGCATTGGTGTTTATTATTACGGGGGTGGGGTGCTAGTCTCATACCCAACCTTCCCTCTTTACCAGTTTTATTACTGGCTAAGTGAGGTAAAGGAGCGCGTCGGCAGGGATTCGAATCCTGAACCACATGCGTGGTTGGAGAGTACTGTACCACCGACGCGACTGACTGTCATTACTTATATTAGATACTGTAGCAACTTAGTGGCTTTTTCATTCAATATACTTTATACCTTTAATAAATACAGATAAAAACGTTTTCTTTATCTTCTTTCGACGGGTTTCTTTTTATTCTCAGTACAATTCTTTATTTATTCCTATTGAAATACTTTTCCAGATGTAGAAATAAGATTACGCTAAAGAGATCGTGGAGTAAACTCATGCGCCATGCAAGTCGTCGAGTAGAATCTGAGTGAGAAACGACAAGTCAGCCGTCCAAAGGTGACCTGGAAGATATTATGTGCGAAGGAAACAAAGGCTTACGAGCAACCTTGGAGCTAGCCGAAATTGATGGCAAAAACCAGTGGGATGGAGATGTTCTGCTGAAGCCTAATTGCTGAACGTGGATCAAATAATTAATAAAAAGACATTAAATGTTGTTATCTATAATGCAAATGACAGCGGGCAGCAAGGAAACGAGAATAAAGTGAACCCACACAAAAAACTTGGAGGACCTGGACTTCACGGATGATATTTGTCTGATTTTCTACAAACTGGAAGATATGCAAGTGAAAAGCAACAAGTTGGCAGAAGAAGCACACAGAGAAGATAGGACTTCAGGTGAGCATGGAGAAAACAGAGGTGATGAAGATTCCTGGCCAACAGCAACAGCAACAGACAATCAGCATAAATGGGAAAAATCTGAAAGAAGCAACCTCATTCACCTACCCTACCTGGGGAGCATCGTTTCAACTACAGGCAGACGGAACTGACGAGGATATGAAGGCGAGGATCGGGAAAGCAAGGGAAGCTTCCATTTATCTCAAGTCAGTGTGGAGGTCAACTGCACTCCTCAGCATGAAAAATAAGATACGGATTTTCAGCTCCAATGTGAAGTCAGCGCTATTTACTATACGGATCAGAGACCTGTCGCATCACGAAGGGCACTTCGAACAAACTAAGGACTTTCATCAACAGCTTTAAACAACAGTCGTTGTAATATATAGTTGTTCTGCTAACATAAAAGACGTTGACTGAGATTAGTTGTGATAACAAGAACAGACTGAATTAGAAGATGGAAGAAAGCAACAATAAACAATAACTGAAGATTTATAATTGCCTACCTGAAGTCGTTGCATAATTGTTTTATACGCCATTGTATCCAACGCATCAGGACTGATACCTTGTAGTTCAAAATCTGAATACATTTTCTAAAATATAAATAAAATATTTTTCTTGTATAGCAAAGATTAGTTTTTGCAATATTTTTTAAAAACTTTTGATTATATCTTGATTCCACATAGTGTTTTTGGTACAAGTATGGAATTTTCAGCATGTGATATCGGTAGCCCAAATTTTGCAGGCCGACCATTGATATCAGGTGTGCGTCGGCAGGTGGTCAAACCCCGGATCATGTGCATGGTCGGCCAGCGTCCTAACCACTGTGCCACCGACTCACACGATGACGAGGGAAGAAAACTCATTTCAAAATAATTCAAAAGTGTTATGGAGGTGACAGATTACTCCATCATCTTCTTGTTCTTTTTAGCATCTTCCTGACTGAAATCAAAGTATCTTTATGTAGACTAAAAGAACGTCATTTCTTCATTCTTATTTTAATTCAAAGTAAAATTACACTCTGAATCTTTGAATACATTCAACTAAATGATTTTCTTCTATCCTTCAAAGAGAAAAGCCTATGATCAGAGTGATATAGACAAAAGGTGGAACTTGTAATTCCTTGATTTTATTTGTCCTAGTAACAATATCAGTATTTGTTGGTTCTAGAGTCTAATGAGTAACATTTAAGTAATTAAATGCGGGGTGCTGATTCATTTATCATTCGGAACATCACTACCCACTGTTATATAGGTAATATACGATTCATCAGTCCAAAACAGTACGAGGCACGTATTGTGGATCTCACTGCTAGACATCACCTAACAGATAATATAGTAACACTAATCCTCAAAAAAATAAGCTATCCTGAAGAAATCTAGAAAAGAAATGGAGAGAAAAAACTATGTTATACGCTTCAATAATTCACCCAGAAAACTGTAAATCGTTCAGTTTGTTTTAGATTGACACTATAATATCTCAGCTATGTATAAGGAGGAATGCAAGAAATTAGTCCAACTAAAACAAAAATACACTCGTTTTTATAAAACAAAGTAAATAATACTGTCTATCAGACGAAATAATTTATTAAATAAATTATATAAAACAAAGATACTAAACTACTGACTGATACAGAATCAATATTTTACTGGTTAATTGCTTAATTTCTGTTTCAAAGACACTTTATGGCACGGTCTTTCTTCTACAACATGGAAGAGAATATTCCCAACTAAAATTTTACTTCCAGTCCAGTCCTGTAGCATCATCTTGCATTTGACGGGAGCGAATCGCATGCCATACATCCGAAGATTGCTGCTCAAGATGTTCAGAAGACTCTGCATTTTGTCAGCGTCTTCACCTAGAAGGGAGGGAGGGCTACGTAATCTGCATATTGTAAGTCAACGAGATTATCCCCTGGTAACAAGTCAATCCCTCAATCGCTGAAGTCAGTTAGGGTTAAGTCCATTAGTGTGTACATCTTTGATGAAATTTAGGAGAAATGGGGGCAGTGGGCATCCCTGACGGATACTAGTGGTTATCATCACTTCAGACGACGACTCTCTGTAGGCTCTCACCTAGCTGCATGAGTTCAAGTAGAGTGCGATGTGTTTTATCGGGATTCCCTTCACAGCCAAACATCATCACAGTGTCTCTCGGTTGATGGGGTCGAATGCCACCTTCACGTCAAGAAATATGACGATTATTGGACCCCACCGGTAAGTATGCGTATGTTCCAGAATCTGTCGAAGGGTGAAGATATGATCAGTACATTCTCTTCCTAGTCTAAAGCCTGCCTGATTTTTTCGTTCTTTTTCTCCCGAGCACCACTTAGTCTACGCGTCATTATTGAGCTTAGAACTTTAGATACCATATTGATCAAGCTAATCCCCCAGTGATTATCACAGGAAGATTTGTTTCCCTTCTTGTATATCGGGATAATCAATGATTTACATCAGCCCAATAGGACTATTTCTGATTCCCAGACGCTGCCTAATAGCTTGGTTAACGCAGACAGTAAAATGTCGCCACCGTCCTTAAACACCTCCGGAGTCATTCCATCAGGTCCCTCTGCCTTGCCCCGTTTCAGATTAGCCAATGCTTTTGTAACCTCGGGGGACGGAGGAACGATGTTTATATCCTATTCAGGGAAAAGGTTGGATGCTGGCTGTAGGCCAGTTGAATTGCTCCTCAATGTGTTCCTTCCAACATTCCAGCCGTCTATCCTGAGTGCGATTTTCTCGGAGATTGTTTCACTTGTTATTTGTTTTTCACCACCTGTTTCCCTGATAGGCCTAAATAGTTGTCTAGTGTTACCTATCACTGATGCCTTTTCCATCCTCTTTCGATTTTGTCGCCCACCACTGTTCAAGGTCGTTGCCAAGGCTTTTTGTTAGTTTGCGTTTGAGCAACCTTCGCTCCTCATCATATTCGGAGTTCTCCGGAATCAGTCTTCTTGTCTTATTGAGTTCGGATGAGGTAGTAGAAATCCAATGGCTCTTACTAACTTTTGACTTTATGTTATTAACAGCTGTGTCTACAGCTAACGGTATATTCTGCCAGGCTTCCTCAGAAAGAGACTTGCTGTCTATCTCAGATACGTGTTTAGCTATTTCTTTCTTTATATAGGGACTCAGTGTCCTGATCAAGTTGAGGGCGTAACTGCTTCGCTAACAACAGTTTTTTATGTTCATTTAATCGTAAGCATAAACCTGCGCGAAACAGGACGTGATCAGAGTTTATGCATGTGTTCCAGAAAAAGATAATATCTGATTGAAAATGAAGGCAGGTAAAATTTATTTAACATTCAAGCGAAATGAACATGTGTACAGTATTACTGAATTATCACCTTTGCTTGTATTAACACCACACCTATTCATCTTAATTGAATTGTAGACGTGATAAGTGATAAAATCTTATTTATCACTTCAATGTGATAATTTTTCTTAGTCAAGATTACTTTTTTTAATGTTGCAAATAATTTTATGGGTAGTTATTTAGAAATTATGCTGTTTTCAAGTATTGGTTTTAGAGGGATTTTGTTTGGTTGGTTGGAGGATTTTATGGTGAGCTGAAATCAGTTAGAGAACCATTGGAAAACTAACTGGGAGTACTGGCTAGCTGTTTTGTCTTAGTTTGGAACCCTTTATCAGTACGCAGCTACCTGGGTCCAAACTGAAGACCTGGCAGGTCAGGTGTGAGGACACCGGCTAGTGGTCTTGCTATATCGTGAATTAGCAGAAATTGGAATTCATGGGCCATTGGATTGAGTCACAGTGGCTTAATGGTCTACGAGCTCGCCTTGTAACCAGAAAGTCCTGGGTTCAAACTCTGGTGGGTGCGTACCGATGAAGAGTCCCAAACTGGGACGAAACGACTGGCTGTCCAGTATTCCCAGTTGGTTTTCTAATGGTTCTCTAACTGATGTCAGCTCATGATGAAATCCTTCATCCAATTATGTTTTGTGTTACTTTTTAAATTTTTCAACTGGACATAACAGATGACCACATTTTTTGTTTTATATTTCACCTTTTCAGGAAAAGAAAAGGAGTGTCTCTTCGAAGAAGGCGTAACTAAATACTGGAAGATACACTTTAAGATAATTATTATTTGGTAAGTATGATGACTACACTAAGAATCTGAAGCGTTAAAACCAACTTTAAAACAATGCAATAGCAATAAAATAACCTGAAAAAATAGAATAGGAAGCAAATATGTATATATGTATATTTCTTTGTACAGTAGAAACACTAAAATTTAAAGTCACCCAAATTTTTCGCCTTCTTTGACGTCACTATTGTAAAAATATATGTATCATTATTTTTATGCTAAGGAAAAATAAAAATGATTCCGCCTAGGAATTCAATCACCGCTAGACAATATAGCAAGAATTTTAGATTTGTTTCAAAATAAATTTTAATTTAAAAACGTCACAAGTATTACATCATAATGTAACCTTTTGTGTTGTTAATTTTTGTTAGATCTCTTTTTTTTCTCATTATTCAGTCTTACAATGCAAAAGTACGTTTAGTAGTTTGTGTATTTATTATGTGTAACTTTGATTGGACACTAGTAACAAGTGTGATGTATCTAGTCCTTTCTTTGGTGCAGAATGAATTCTATCAATCAGGTTTGGCGGGCTACCTAGATTGGTGGCCACATTGCAAACCTGACTGATAGAATTTAGTCTGCACCAAAGTAAGGACTAGACACATCACACTAGTCACTGACTAGTGTCCAATCAAAAATATCCACTACAGTCGTACAGGAGGTCAATCGTGAACCTGAATAGTTCAGTGGTAACGTCCCTGACTGCAGCACTGGGTGACGCGGGTTTGAATCTCAGAAGGGACATGAGTTCCTGCAAGATTACAGATACGCCTTGTTGACGAGTGCCAAATAGCATGAAACCTAGGTTAGGGGCTTCCTGTCGATTGCCTCCAACCATCTAATATGTGTAACTGTGCTTGAAATCTTTTAGAACCTAATGCTGAATAATTTGACTATTTGGTCTCATCTATAAGGGGAAGTAAAAGTTATCCGATTAGACGCCTTGAAATGTTATGAGTTAACAGCTATTATGACTCAAAATTCTTACCACCCTTTCTCATTCTTCTAACTTCGAATATTTCCACTAGTCTTTATATAAATATAAATATATTCATTCTGCTCCTAATACTTTTTGTGTAGCTACAGACTAACTCCATAGTCTATCAGTCAGAATTTAAATTATATAAATATTGATTTCCTATACGTTAATCAGATAACCAACCAATCAAATTCCACTAGGTTGACAGACGCCCACTAGTCGGCCTAAAATCACAGTATATATAATTAGTCTGTGATACTTTTCATATAACTATCATCACCTGTCCCTCACTAGTTTGGAAATACACGTTACAAGAATAATTTGTGAATTTTCTTGAAATTACCAACACTTCGGATCAATGGAAAAAATCTACTAGGATATCATCAAGCGTTCAGCATTTTTAACTTGATTCGCATGAAGATTCATTAAGCCTAACATACTGGTTCTACACACTCAACTTCCTTTTATTCTGACTTAAAATTGTCACATATTGAAAACAATACAGGTATAAATGAATTGATCTATTTGCTTGTCTTATCATTTGTAATTGAAATGAAAGAAAACCCCAGGAGTAAATATGTTTTCACATAAAGTTTAGCCTTAAGTATTTCAGTAAGTTAAAACAATTAACGCTTGACCAGTTTTGTTCAGAATTGCTTGTCTAGTGAAATTCAGTAGTTATTTACTTAAATGGTAAGTAATCAGTTCAATGAAAATTATCCAAAGAAATAACGAATCCAATAAATTATCTTTGCTGTTGTTTTGAAAATACATATGAAAGGAAAAAGTAGTAGTAGTAGTATAAATCACTCACTTTAATAATTGTAGAAAGACAAGTGAATTGATATGGACTTAATGCATTCCCTTTACGTTCAATCAACCAATCATTGATCATTCTTGTCTGTGTCATATACCATGTCTTTAAAAAGAAATAAATATATACATATATAGAAAAAGAAATAATTAAAAATGAGAACTCAGGTATAAAAAGTTGTATGCAGTTCCTTGGGGACAACATCAGCGAGATACTAATACAGCGCCTTAGAAATGCGGTAAAAAGAGCATTCCGTGCTGCTAAATTACGCTGTGTCTTCAAAACCACTCCTCTCTTGCGTTCGGGCGTAAAAGACAAACTGCCTAATTCCGCCTCTTCCGTGTGTATCTACCAACTTAACTGCTCCTGTGGAGCCAGTTGCATAGGCCGTACAATTAGGCGTGTTTATCGTCGAATTTCAGAACGTCAACCTGTGTGGTTAAGCAAAGGACAAACAAAATCTATTCGCAGCTCTATTCTATCTCATCTTGTGGATACAGAACAAAAGAATACATTAACGATGCTTTCAGGGTAATTTACCGCATACCTACGAATCTCAATTTTGCCTTAAGAGTTCAACTACTAAATGTTGCTGAAGTTGTCGGGATCCACATTAACAAGCCTAATTTGTGCATCCAAAAGAAGTTAGTTCAGACATTATGCTTACCTTGGCCATCCAGGTTTGAATAATCCAGAATTTTTGTGAAATTTCCCTAGTTTTAGTTGATATTCTATTTGATACTACATCTTTATTATTATTATTATAATTTAAGCATCTTTAATGAACTATAATTGCATTGATCCTACTTTACAAATCGAGATTATTTAAAAAACACTAATATTGTTGTTGACTACTAATCTAGAATATTCTATATATATATATATATATACATAATTGTAGAGCCAGAAGAGGAATTCATTGAAAAGGATATTCTTTGTTCAATTATTTTGTGTTTTGAGTTGAAGTGAATTTCAAGATTAATAACTTTAAACATAATACAGTACCTAGTGAAATTTGAAAAAGAATGTGCAGTATTTAGCATATGATGAGTGAATACATCTGTATTCATTGATATAAGAATAGAACTTGGGCACTGTGATAATGTGGTGTGTGCTACTGATAAGATTTTTCAATAGTATATAAAGAGACGTTCATCGGCATAAGAACATCAAATAACAGAGAGATTTGACGTCAGAGAAAGCAAATGATTTAGCGTTGCGGAGAAACGTGGGAGACGTCAAAGGAAGAAACACAATATGAAGGACAGAAATAGCACAAAATGGAAGATCTGTGCAAATGATGATTTGAAGATAAGGTGTACATAGTTTTGATATATAGCGATACCCGATTCGAGATAAATATCCCTTTACCAAGTCTCTCGTTTTCTACCGTTACAGAAGAGTATAATTCAGTTATGGAGAAAATTTTATTTTGATAAAATCTCACAGTGTTATGCAGTAATGTTTACTGATGACGATTTGAGAACAATTTATTGATGCTCATAATCATATCAAAGCACTCTCACACAGCTTTCTGACTTCGTTTATATACGTGAGTAAAAAACTGATTAGACACATGTATGACTAAATAAAATAAATATAAAGTTCAATAGACATGCATAAGACAGAAAAGATGATAGAGTACATTCGGCAATAATATTAGTGTTATCAATAGAATACAATAAGATGGGAAATAAGATGTTTTGTCAATAAAATAAAGTAAATAACATGTTGTAGTGTTATAACATGAATTGAAATAAAACAAATTTTGACATGATTTCTTATCCTTTGATTTGACTGGTAATAATATCTTCCATATCTCTGGTATTTGCATTGAGTCATTTCTGTTGCATGTGTTGGGTGTAGACTCGATGAAGAAACATTCGGTAATCAACCTCTCCCTCCACCTACCTATATTACTTTTTAGAATTGTAACCCTCTCCCACACTATTGTGTGGCTTTATGTTAATGCATGCAGTGCAATCGCTGCACTTATCTTCGTGAGATCATTCCTTCTAACCTCAGCTAAATTCCTATGTTCTGATAATCTCACTACTCCTGATCTACTAGTTTCACCTATGTAGTTGACTTAACTCACAGTCATTGCAAGGTATTTTGTAAATTATATTATTTTGTTTAAGTGGGTCCACCAGGTCTTTTAGCCTACAGAGCTTGTCTCTGAGTAAGTTTGTAGGTTTAAGTGGCATCCTAATTATTGCTTTATTGAGAATCCTACTTCGGGTCTCAGATGTCCCCTCCTTACAGTGGATGGCTTATATTCTCTCTTATTTATGTTATCATTACTAGTTCCACAATTATTTTTATTTTCCTTTTGGTCTTTACTGATCTTCCTAATGAATTTTATGGGGTAGTTATTTGATACCAACGCTTCTTCTATCTGTTTCATTTCATCATTTAGGTCTTTTCTTGTGCTACTTATTGCTACTGCTCGGTTTGTTAGACACTTAATTAAGCCTGCCTTAACAGTTAAAGGAGATGAATTCAAGTCTGAATATCTAATAGGGTGCGTTGGCTTTTTATAAACACTAGTGTACAGTTTACCTTCTTCTATTCGTTTTATTTTGCAATCTAACATAGCTAATTCTCCTTATTCATTTTCCTATTCAAATGTGAATTTCATTCCATTTACTAAGGAGTTTATATGTGTGTGAAGAAACTGGAGGTATGTTCTGTTTTTAACACTGTGAAAGTATCATCTATATATCTCCACCATATTTTTGGAGTAGGATTAAATGTATTAAGGACAGTATTTTCCCAGCTATCCATAAAGATAACTACTACGATAGGGGATATTGGTGATCTCATTGCCAAACCTTCAGATTGTTTATATATTTTCCCTGGAGTTTAAAGATAGTAGATGTAAGGCATGACTGAATTCCTAAAATAATTTTCTCAGTGGGTAGCTTTGTCCTATAACCAAGTTCGGGATCAGCGTTATGGACAGAAATAAAACCACTGTATTTGATCACTGTTTTAACCCAGTTTGGGACTCTTTAGGGTTACACACCCGTGAGCTTAACGGGAATCGAACCCAGGGCCTTAAGTTTACAAGATAAGTTCGTTAACCATTCAGTTAATGAAACAAAATTCGACGGGTCATGAATTCTAATTTCTGTCAACCTACAATATATACAGTGACCGCCAAACAATCTCATTCGCGAGTATTTGTCCTCACCTGGTGGAGTTAACTGGTTACGACTTCTCAGCAGAATTCCAGGAAACCTTTTCCAGTCACTAGTGAGCAGCAGTGCTAAAAATCACGAACTGATAAAGTGAAAATTCATGGGCCACTGAGTTGAACCTCAGTGACTGGACAGTCAGCTAACTGGTTTTTCAACCTGAAGGTTCTGAATTCGATCGGTCACGGTTGCGTACTGCTAAAGAGTCGCAAACTAGAGAAAAATAGCCATCCAGTTCGCCCTGGTTTCCAATGATTCCTTAACTGATATCAGTCCATGACCAAACCTATAGCCAATCAAATCCCTGTAAACATACACTTGAAAATTATATTCCTTAACCATACAGAACTTGACAGGAAATGACGTTGATTAAAACAGAAACAAAATGTTGTATAAACAATGATCTTCTTCGCATTGTTTGCTTTGAAATCAAGAGAAGGTAGGTTATACAGACTAGGTCTTTGAATAATTCATTCATTATAGTTTCATTTTCTCTTTGTTTACCTTATTCAAAAGAAAATGTTTCTATTCAAATATTTTCTTTCATACAGTGTTGCATATTATGCATACTATGCAAAATTACTATTATCTAAAACAAATTTAAGTAATAAAATAAGAAATTTTTGAAAACAATAATTCATCGAATCTTCAACTGATCAAACAACAGAAATAAAATTATTTATCGCATTCCGACTAATCTTAATTTTGCTCTACGAGTTCGTCTTCTACAGACAGCTGAAGCAATCGGAATCCACCTGAAGAAGCCAAGCCTATGTGTTCAGAAGAAATTTGTACAGCCACTTTCCTTACTGTGGCCATCGTTACAAGAATGCATAAACAGGACTACGTCGTCCCCCTCCCCCTGAACCTTTAAAAACTATAAAAATTATAATTGTCCAAATTATTTTGTTTTTATTTTGACCATTTCATCTTTAATTACGTGTTATCCTTGTAAAATTAATTTATTTTAACCAGTTCTACCTTTTAAATGTGTATTGATTTTCTTCGTTTATTATCAATCCCACTGACATTTTGACACTGTTCAATTGTTGTTAACAAACATATCGCCACTTGTTTGGTAAACTGTTGTGTATTGTAATAAAAATGCTGTAGGTGTATATTAGAATAGAGCCAGAGATGAGGATCTAATTGATAAGTAAATATTTCTTCGCTCAATCTTTCTGTTTTCTAAATGTCTAAATGGGGATTTTTTCTAAATTGATAAAATAGTTTAAGCAGTCAAGGTATAAGTACATTAGCAACAACAACTATTATTATTATTTATTATTGTATCCTTTAATTCCTACAGGAACATAGGGCTTCAGCCGTTCGTCTCCATTGCGTTCGGTTCTCTGCTAGAGTCTTCACTTGGCTCCATGTCTGCCCACACGTTTTCATCTCCTCTTCACATGGCCTCCTCCAAGTCACCCTTGCACTGACGACCAACTCGCCGCTTCCCTTTCGGGTTCTACTCGAGCAATGGCTTGTCTAGTGATGTCACTTGATGGTTTCCTCACAGTATGGCCAATCCATCTCCATTTCTTCCCGCCTATTTGTTTCACAATCGGTTTCTGGTTGGTTCGCTCCCAGAGATCCTTGTTGCTGATCTTTTCTGGCAGGTTATCTGATCTTCAGTATTGAGCGAAGACAACTATTGATGAAGGTCTGTAGTTTGTTTGAGATGCTCTTTATGACGCACCAAGTCTCTGGTCCATATAGTAGCACTGACAGCACATTGGAGTTGAAAATCCGGATCTTATTTTTGATGCTGAGTGTTGTTGACCTCCACACAGACTTGAGAGTAGTGAAAGCTTGTCTTGCTTTTCCGATCCTTGCTTCGATATCCTCGTCAGTTCCGCCTGTAGTTGAAACGATGCTTCCAAGGTAGGTGAAGGAGGTTGTTTC